AATCAGTATCTACCAGTCCATCAACATTGGTTCTCTTCCGATAGAGCTCGGCCGCGGTTTCGCGCGGGGGCTGTACGTCCCAGAAGGTCGTCAACTGTTCAACGAGGAGTGGAGTTGAGGAGCCAATATGCCCGTATTTTAGCAAATTTCAGAACCAAAAGGGCCAGGAAAACTACAATAACAAAACATCAAATTCAGTCAGTACATAGTCTAGAAATCCTAAAGGCACCAGTGGTCGCTAAGGACCAGAAATCGATAACCGGGTTGGTGGGCATTCTGGATTCCGATGTACTATCGGAACTCACGGACGAAGATGCCAATCTATGCCTCATGAAACGAGCAATAGTTAATCGGGACGTATCGATTCCTATATCAAATCCTTTTGGCATTGTGCAGCGGTGGTTGATGGCTGTGTTGTTGTGGATAATAGGATTGCTATACCCATGTGTTTACGAAAACCATTATTGTCTCGACTCCATCGGTCGCATGCGGGTCAGTTAGCCATGGTTGATGCGGCGCAATACATCTGGTGGCCCCGAATGCATCGCGATATCGTCCAACTTTGCAAAGATTGTCCCCAGTGCACAAAGTTATGTAAGAATTTGAAAGCGAACGCTTCATTTAACTCTTCCAAGCCTTTACCCCTGTTATCTGGTCCTAACGAAGAGCTGCAGCTCGATTATGCAGGCCCCCTACTTGATTCGTTTGGTAACAGTATTTATAGCTTGGTCGCGATTGACCGTTACTCAAAATATCCGTCGGCTATGATCACGCGTTCCACGGGAGGACGGAAGATTATTAAATTTCTTAAGTCGTATATCCAACAACATAGTATCCCCAAATCTATCAAAACAGATCAGTATTCTGGTTTTAAGAACAAATTAGTGCAACAATTTTGTCTAGATAAAAATATTGCTCAATATTTCTGTCCTGTGGGGGACCATCGTGGTTGCGGTTTAGTAGAAAGGTCGATCCAAACAATTAAACGTCGTTTGGGCGCCTCACGGTTGAGCTCGGATTTTTCAAATGTTCAAGATACTCTTAGAAATATTATTGAAGACATCCGGGTTACAAAAAATTCTGTTACTGGGGCTTCACCGTTTGAACTTCATGTTGGCCGTCCCCCGAATACGGAGCTATCTATTGCGACTGAGCGCTTATCTTCGGGAGTTCGTTTAGATAACCAACAATTGGAACGGGACTTATTAACACCTGAACAGCGTCGGGAGCAGTGCGATAGCCGACCAAGTATCAAAGTTGTAAGGAAGGGGCAGTCAAGCCCGACGGTGTCTCCACATTTTGGTGGAACTACGGATTCAGTCGCAGATACACCTCACTACCGCGCACTGGAGAGCTTGGCACATTCAGCCAATCAGTGGCTAACATTGAAAAGGTCATTATCACATCAGGAGGGAGTCAAAGCACTGAAGACCTTGACGGAAAGAAATCAAGTCCTCGCAGCCACTCTTCGATCAAATTTGTCGGCTGGTACCCTCAGATTCAGGAACCAAATGCAAACGGATCAGATTCGCCCGTCGGTGCCAAAACGTAATTTGGATTACTTAGTATTGAATGAACCAAATAAAGTCGAAATATTTTTAGGAAATTTCTAAATAGGAAGTCCGGCAGAGAACTTTTCAAACCTTTCAAGGGCACAATCGTGCGGATTACTGGGTCTACATATATTTCCGATAAAGGAAAAATGATTAGAAGAAATCATATGGCAGTACGTCTTAAGTCAACTAATCTAAGTTTTTCAGGAAAACAACTAACTCCTGTCAAGAAGGGGCAGAAACGCCCGATTGTGTCATCGTCACCATCATCATCTGAAGATAATAGGCCGCTCAAACAGTCAAGTTTCCGCCAGCGTATTACAGCGAAAACAGTACACGTGCCTACTAATGTGAAATTCCCATCTTTGACAATTTCACATACCCCACCGCGTGGCCAAATGGTGCGACCAGGGTCGACTAGGCCAAGAGAAGATGCAATCTCGGAGGCTCCGGGTGTGCGAAACATTCCTTTCAAACAACACTCTACCCCAGTGGTAGATTTAACGGTTTCCTCTTCCACGTCTGGCAATCAAGGAACGGAGGTTCTTATCAGCATCAAACCAAAGTCGCAAACTCCAGTAAAGATCCCAGTATGTTCAGATCTTATCCCTATCTCCTCAGACGATGAATAGTCAATTCCGAAATCCCAAGAAGGAATTCAAACAAAACCGGCAGCATCGGGTCTTCACTCCCAAGATGGTCCCGTCATACTGACCGAACCGGATGGTAATGTATCATCCTCATCAAATTCGTCGCGGGCCTCCTCAAGACGGAATAAGCAGACTATGTTTTATGGTAGTCCCATCAAACATTCTGTGAATGTCATTGAATCTCAGTCAGTATCTACATCTCCGTCAACACCTGCTTCGCCGGACAAAAAGGTCCGTTTTGTGGTGACTACTTCAGATCGATCGAATCAAGCAGGGCAGTCTAGGGCAGTTCTTCCCGATAATTCAGAGATATCATATAGGAGATTCACTCGCTTCCCAACAAAGAACCACTCCGACCATCCTTTGCGTCGGGCCGACAAATAAAGTGTTCATGCCTTCAGCCTAGATAAACTTTAAAACTTTCTCTAGCTTATCCACAATGTCACATCAGTCAAACTCATGAAACTCCCAGGGTTTACCTGTTATATTAAGCATTGTTATCGTATGTAAGAAACATATTTAGATTTTCTTTGTTACAGTAAAGAAATTCAAACGTTGTTCGAATTTTTCCCGAGAGGGGGAAATGTGGTACGGCGTAGTTTAGAGATCATTATGTTGTTATTATTGTGCTAGCTATCTGTGCTAAACTCGCCTTTGTCTATCAAGGTCGTGACCGACCTGCCAATCCGTTCTAGCTTTAACACATGTGTTCTCATTCATTCTGCTGCAACTTATGAAAGATTTGAGTTGTATTTAATTCATTGTCATGACATTATCTAAATACTAAACTATCTATATTATTTGTATTATTATAAACATAATCAAGGAGAATTGATTCTTGTTTTACAACTGTCTTTTCTCACTTCACAATCTTAAAAGAACTGAATCAGCAGAAATTTTTTTTCGATACTTGAAATAATTGTGAACGAACTTCTGAAATTTCAGTTGTGGTCTCTCAATAATTTACATCCAAGCAATTTCTTTTACTACCTATTTGTTGGAAACGAGTTTACTGATAAAATCAAAAGGTCATAATTTTTCACCAGATTAATGAAAAAATCGCTCTGATGAAAAACCATTAAATCAGCTTCACTGTAAAAAAATCAGGCTCTAGTTTTTCATTCTTCCTAGCGAATCTCACTTATCCGCAAACTGTAGTGAAATGACCTCAAATGAAATAAAATTCAAGATTCCTAGTTTTTGGCAAATTCAGAACCAACTCAATTAAAATTGTCAAGCATTTAAACCTACTGTTTCCTAAGAACTTTGATAAGTGCTTTTGAGAGCGTCAAGTTGACTGCCAACTCATGCACAAACATGTTCATGTGAAAACTTCTAGTTTTCGAAAAAAATTGTTTTAAGGAAATTTTCTGAATTTTCAGTTCAACGTAGAAAAAATGCATTAATATAATAAATTTGAAAATTTCTTATTTGTCTTCAGATCTTGGATGAGTGCTGCCGAGCATGTTAAATTGGGCTGTAAATCAATTCTGAAAATACATTTGTCTGAAACATTTTGATTTTTGAGATAAAAACCTGTTTTTGTGAAATCTCATGTTAGCTTGGAAAAATTTTTTTTTCTGAGATTTTTTTAAATCATGTTTTATTGATGCCTAGCAGATGAAGTAAGCCTGCCTGCAGTTTTTTGTCGAAACTCGCAACGCATTCAAAATTCCGTTTTTTACCGAATAGTTTTTCAATACTTTTAATGTTTTCACTTGTTTTTCATTGTTGCTGACTAAGTTATTCAGAATATGTGCGTATGATGAAAACTGTAACCTTTAAGTGGGAATTACTTATGCCTTTCAGTTATCCTCCGCGTTATTTGGTTGCTAATTAATTGTACTGATATGAAATTATGAAAAAAATGAGTTTCCTTTCAAACATTAATAACTTATTTATATTGTATGGAGAAAAGAACTCTTTATTTCTCTCCTTTTTTGAAGAATTAAAAAGTTATACATAAAATTCAATAAACTCCTTTCAGCAATCAACAACGTAACCCGTTATACAAGAGAGTACAGGGGAGAGAGTATGCTTCAAACAAGGCGAAAGAGAGGCAGCACATTAAGTTTCTTTCAGAAAAAAAACTTCAATAATGGAGTTCAACCACAGTAGCTCTGGTAAATTTTTACTTTTTTGTAATATTTAGGGAGATGGGGGAGAAAACTGAGGGAAGATATAGATTATTAGGCAACTTAGCCTTCTGAAACAAAAGTTAAACACTTTTTTTTCTAAGAAAAGTTCATTGTGACTTGACTCTCCACTCCCATTCGCCCTAAATGGTTATGAAATCAAAGTACTTTTTATGGACACTCTTTATTTGGTATGATTTGCTCGAAGTTTTCATAACTATACCTTGAATCATATCTGAAAAGGGTTTGGGATGATACATTCCAACCCTTTCTGATATTTATTTGCGGTAATTGAATTTATGTAAAAACCTACCTCGAACTCAAAGTTCCTCAAGTACCTTCGCTGATAGAAACAATAAAATTCAGAAGCCTTAATTCAAAAGACTCTTGCTCTTAACTGAAATGTGATTCGAACTTAAATAATATTGGATCGTTTTACTTTAGTGACATAAATATGAACTTAATTGGACACGAAATTTGAAAAATCTTGGCTATTTATAGCAGAAAGTAAGAATACAATCAGTCATGATTTGATCGAGATACCTATTGCAGAGGAGGGTTTATGATGTTTTTTTTTCATGTTTTTTGTTTTTTTTTCATCAGGAAACAGCTTAACATTTAAATTATATCGAAGTATTACAATTAATATTCTGGTAACTTACCAAGATTTTTATCCGCTATATTGAGCAAGTCTACAGTAGTTACTATGGTATCGTGATCCAGTTCAAACACAGCGGAGTCTTCTTTGGATGTCTCGACGTAACACGACTGACTAGCCAATGAATCATTCTCAAATTGCCCGTCTAGAGCCTTCAAAGCAAAAAAGAGCGGTTTAATTGAATGGATGAAATTTCAGATATTCAGAATCGAACTATGGAAATTTGAGAAACAAAGACTCGAAGTTTTTTCTATTCTGGTTTGTTAATTTGTTGCTGCACCATTTTTCTATCAGGTGTCGAGGTGCTCACTTTATGTTTCGGCTTTCAAAGTCGAGCACACGCCAGTGCTCGACCGAAAAAGAATAGTCGAGACAGGGGTTTCGAATAGCTATTTGGTGTTTTGCCATGAAGATGCATTTTGTCATTATTCCACTAATTTTTTGTCCGACTTGCGAAAGCGAGGAATTTATATGCTCGCGTTAGCTTTTTTATTCAGACCAAAAGATTATAATTTCCAAAAGATTATAATTTCCAAAAGATTATAAGCGCATTCGAGGGCGTCAAGTTGACTGCCAACTCATGCACAAACATGTTCATGTGAAAACTTCTAGTTTTCGAAAAAAATTGTTTTAAGGAAATTTTCTGAATTTTCAGTTCAACGTAGAAAAAATGCATTAATATAATAAATTTGAAAATTTCTTATTTGTCTTCAGATCTTGGATGAGTGCTGCCGAGCATGTTAAATTGGGCTGTAAATCAATTCTGAAAATACATTTGTCTGAAACATTTTGATTTTTGAGATAAAAACCTGTTTTTGTGAAATCTCATGTTAGCTTGGAAAAATTTTTTTTTCTGAGATTTTTTTAAATCATGTTTTATTGATGCCTAGCAGATGAAGTAAGCCTGCCTGCAGTTTTTTGTCGAAACTCGCAACGCATTCAAAATTCCGTTTTTTACCGAATAGTTTTTCAATACTTTTAATGTTTTCACTTGTTTTTCATTGTTGCTGACTAAGTTATTCAGAATATGTGCGTATGATGAAAACTGTAACCTTTAAGTGGGAATTACTTATGCCTTTCAGTTATCCTCCGCGTTATTTGGTTGCTAATTAATTGTACTGATATGAAATTATGAAAAAAATGAGTTTCCTTTCAAACATTAATAACTTATTTATATTGTATGGAGAAAAGAACTCTTTATTTCTCTCCTTTTTTGAAGAATTAAAAAGTTATACATAAAATTCAATAAACTCCTTTCAGCAATCAACAACGTAACCCGTTATACAAGAGAGTACAGGGGAGAGAGTATGCTTCAAACAAGGCGAAAGAGAGGCAGCACATTAAGTTTCTTTCCGAAAAAAAACTTCAATAATGGAGTTCAACCACAGTAGCTCTGGTAAATTTTTACTTTTTTGTAATATTTAGGGAGATGGGGGAGAAAACTGAGGGAAGATATAGATTATTAGGCAACTTAGCCTTCTGAAACAAAAGTTAAACACTTTTTTTTCTAAGAAAAGTTCATTGTGACTTGACTCTCCACTCCCATTCGCCCTAAATGGTTATGAAATCAAAGTACTTTTTATGGACACTCTTTATTTGGTATGATTTGCTCGAAGTTTTCATAACTATACCTTGAATCATATCTGAAAAGGGTTTGGGATGATACATTCCAACCCTTTCTGATATTTATTTGCGGTAATTGAATTTATGTAAAAACCTACCTCGAACTCAAAGTTCCTCAAGTACCTTCGCTGATAGAAACAATAAAATTCAGAAGCCTTAATTCAAAAGACTCTTGCTCTTAACTGAAATGTGATTCGAACTTAAATAATATTGGATCGTTTTACTTTAGTGACATAAATATGAACTTAATTGGACACGAAATTTGAAAAATCTTGGCTATTTATAGCAGAAAGTAAGAATACAATCAGTCATGATTTGATCGAGATACCTATTGCAGAGGAGGGTTTATGATGTTTTTTTTTCATGTTTTTTGTTTTTTTTTCATCAGGAAACAGCTTAACATTTAAATTATATCGAAGTATTACAATTAATATTCTGGTAACTTACCAAGATTTTTATCCGCTATATTGAGCAAGTCTACAGTAGTTACTATGGTATCGTGATCCAGTTCAAACACAGCGGAGTCTTCTTTGGATGTCTCGACGTAACACGACTGACTAGCCAATGAATCATTCTCAAATTGCCCGTCTAGAGCCTTCAAAGCAAAAAAGAGCGGTTTAATTGAATGGATGAAATTTCAGATATTCAGAATCGAACTATGGAAATTTGAGAAACAAAGACTCGAAGTTTTTTCTATTCTGGTTTGTTAATTTGTTGCTGCACCATTTTTCTATCAGGTGTCGAGGTGCTCACTTTATGTTTCGGCTTTCAAAGTCGAGCACACGCCAGTGCTCGACCGAAAAAGAATAGTCGAGACAGGGGTTTCGAATAGCTATTTGGTGTTTTGCCATGAAGATGCATTTTGTCATTATTCCACTAATTTTTTGTCCGACTTGCGAAAGCGAGGAATTTATATGCTCGCGTTAGCTTTTTTATTCAGACCAAAAGATTATAATTTCCAAAAGATTATAATTTCCAAAAGATTATAAGCGCATTCGAGGGATCGTTCCCTGGATCTCTGCGTGGCACCACCGAATGTGAACACCACTATAAAAACCTGACACGAGTCGATTCGACTTGTTCCTTTTACACTTTGATACTTAAAGTGTTAAGCCTTAAGTGTTGTTTAAAGTGTAAAGCTTAAAGTGTTGCTGGCAAACTATCTCGCACTGCAAAATTGTTCAAATTCAATTCAGGCAAGCTAATTGTTCATATTATTTCGTTCAGGACTTAAATGTTGGCACTAAAAGTTTGTCAATATCAGCCTAATATTCATAGTTTGTGAACGATTCGTTTACCAAAAACTATTCGAAACCAGTTAAAGGGCAGTCAGCACCTTTCAGATTTTCCCCTGATATCAAAATTTTTGTTTTGATGAAAACTTACTTTAAAACGAGGTTATCATTACATTTTTTCTTCCGACTTTCAAATAAATTGACCGAATATTTGTGCTCGGGTTTTTTTCTCCAAACCAATTTCGCATTCCTAACTAGCCTTTTAAGAACAAAATTATTTACTCCATCTGGAAGCCAGTAATGACTTGAGCTCATTTTGGTAGGCTGGAAAGTTTTAGGAATTGAAAGTTGCCAATTCAAATAGTTTGGGACAATTAACGCGCCAGATTATTTGTCCTATAAACACATCCGCTTCTAAATGATTATAAATTGGTTCGAGGTAAAATATTTGGTATAAATATAACGTTACTAGACGCTTTTAAAAAATCACTTTGTACTTGGTATTGCAAGTGTGGTGAATTTTCAAAAAAAAAATTTTTTTTTTTCAAATGATGCATTCAAAAACTGTTTCAAACACTTGGAAGCGCAGTATATTTGGAACAGAGCATTTTTCCGCTTTAAGCTAAAGCGGCGAAAAAGAATCGATCAAGCATTTCAAGCAAAAGCACCAAAGGCGATCGCGAAACTTCCACAGCATCAATAAAAGAGGAAATCGGTATGAGCTTTCAAACCGCAGGAATTTTACCATAAAGAAACCTGCGACCTGAGGGAAATAGCTGTGCACTTAGATAAACGAAAGAGTAGAAAGCAGTTCTTGGAAAAAAAAACGGGAAAAACGACCTATTTTCAAAACGGAAAACAATACTTCGATGATTAGTGTCCCGACTATGATTTCCAACAAAAACTTCAACAACAATGATTTTCAACAAAAACTTCAAAAACAATCTGAATTTTTTTGAACATTTAAATAGTTAATTTAAAGCGATTTCTGGGTTCCTACTTGATACGAGCAGTCTTATTAACCTTGTCTACAGATGACCATTGGTAAAGCGGGGTGCCGGATCCGATTGCATTCACTGGAGTCATCTCTGTCTGGTTGCTCACATCCCCTGGAAATGATCAAAATCAATCTGGAGCTCTATGCTTGATCTGAGTTTGCAAGTATCGTACACATTAGTTCATCAATCGCAAATTTTACGAAGATCGAAATTTGAGTCTTCACTTTCCCTGAAACTACCCTTAACTCAATCCTAGCCTTATAGTTACTTTGAATCGCTTCTGAAACCATTTACTTAATTCCTGACATCGTTTCTAATCTTTTAGTTACTTATATCGTTTTTGAATTAAAAAAAAACGAATTTTCTTAGTTTTACTGCATAGAATGTGATAAATTTCCCAAAAAGAACTAAGTAAATCCATAATTGGCTCAATCAATAACATAATGGTTCTCGAGGAAAAAATTCTGGTCTTTAAATATTCTGAAGCAGCATTTGCTTTTTCGAATTGCTTTTTTGTACACTTTTTACCAAAGTGGCGGGACTTGTCCTTCGTATACATTCTGTTTTGTACGGAACCAGCTGTGTTACCACCTGTCGTACCCTTTACCTGTCAAATTTTCTATTTTACCTGTGTGCTGGAAGGTGGATGCCTCAAAATTTAAAATTAAAACTGGCAAAAAAACATTCAAAAAGTATGTTAAATTATCTACCTCGAGAAGTGCGCATGCTCTTGATTAAATACTAACAGAAGGGGTTCGGAGTTTCCACACCACATATGCTCTTCAGTTCTCCTTTGTCCAGATTGTCCTTTTTGGCCTTTTTGAACTTCTGCATGCTTGAATACACACTGCTGACCTGCGACACCTTGGAGTTGAACTGTCCGGCGTCTCTGTCTTCGTTCTCAACCAGAAGGTGACAAGTAGTCTTCCCGTTGCAGTCGGATGTGGCCTAAATCAGAACCAACATATTTGAAGTCAGTTGGTGACATTTGTTTCTCACCGACCGGGCGCGATATTTGGTAAGAGGCACAACTGGACTACAAAAAAGTTACTTGACTATCATTATCAATATATTTTACACACACCTTTTTATTCGAAGAGATTTTCGTGAATTTCTTTTTTTTGAAAAAAAAAATCGATTTGAGAACGTTTTTGTCGTTTTACAGAGTTGCTTAGTTTAATAATGTGCAATTCTTTGCTTTGCGAAAAAAAATTGTAGTATTTTAGTAATCATTAAAATGCGTTTAATAAATAAATCAGAACTTTGCACTTGAAAAGCGTCTACAAAATGAGAATTTAGTACTTTTCTCATCCCGTTCACAAGGACAACTTGCTCCTTTTATTTGTGCAGTTTTGCCACAATTTTCATTTCGACGTCTTCTGGTATAATCTCACTGATGGATCTATTGATCTTTCAAAGACTGATTTCAAATATAAGAAAATTGATTAAATCCAGCCAATCAGATTGCAGGTAAAAAACTAACAAAATTCGCACAAATTGAATCAAATAGCAGTAATTTAGAAAACAACAAAAAAACTTATTGTTCCGACTTTCGTAACGAAAGTAACAGAATATTTGTGCTCGGGGTGGGTTTTTTCAGACGAACTCCGACTTTTAACTAGCCATTTTTGACAGAAATTTTTTGGTATCATTCAAAAGGTATTGTTGTCTTAAGCTGAAGTTTGAAAAAATATTTCACCTGTGATTATTTTTTGTAAAGTTATTGTGGATTAAAGATTTCCATTTTGGCCAATTTTGGACAATTAACGAGCGAAATATTTGAGGTATTAACGCGTGAGCGGAGATTTAATCGAAATTTAATTGATTGAAGGAAAAATTTTTGCCAAAATTGATATGTTACTACGAGCGAAATTTATCTTTTTGTACCTTATATGGCGTGTGGAGGGATGATTTTCACAAAATAAATCTCAAATTGTCAAAAAAATTCTCTTTTGCTTTATTACAGTTAATTTTTTCTTGTTGTTACTGCTCCATAGACCTTAAAAAGCTGTCGGAATATTCGGGGCTTCGCTCTGATACGAGAAGTCTTGTTTAACAACTTAAAATTGTCGCATTTAAACAGAAAGGGGAAAAAGTTTAAATATAGATGGTTACAAGTACAAACAAACATCGAAAAATAAAGTTTCTTTATTTTATTTATGGTGCAAAAAAAAACATTGTTAATATCGATTGATTACTGAAATCGGAAAAACCTATCTGAAAACTTATAGCAACGCACACAATTACAACCCCGACTTTGATTTCTCTACAGAAGAAATATTTAGACAGCAATTGTTTGCTGATTTGAGAAAAAACCCTTGACAAGAATTGAAAAAAAAATGGTTTCGGTTATATCCCCCTAAATGGAAAAATTTGGCGAATCAAATTTCGACTTGAAATTGAAAGCGCGAAAACGAGTGAAACAAACAACTAAACACCACTCGCGTGCAATTAGCAGCTGCTCGATTAGTAAACAAAAGTATATGGCAAATTTATCACTAGGTTTGTTAATCGAGAAGCTGCTAATTGCACGCGAGTGGTAACTGATTGTTTTTTTCACTCGCTTTGGCGCTTTCAATTTCAGCTCGAATTTTGAATTGCAAAGTATATCAATTTAGGGGGGTATAACGGAAAAGACCCAGAAAAATTTATAATCGGGCCGCTGAAACTGGACTAAATAAGCCATTGTAAGCCTGCTCACAGGGGCGGACTTAGGGGGGGGGGGGGGCGTTCTTTTGCCGACTTAATGGGTCGCCTTTTGTACTATTTTGAGATATCAGTTTTTGGTTGATGGACCCTAAAATTTTTCTAAAGGTCTCAATATTTACTAATTTTGAGAGGGAAGCGCGCGCCTCAAAATTTTGAGAGGGAAGCGGCGCAGAAAACTTAGCCAAAATAAGGTCGTTGTAGCGCTTTGGGAGACCTCGGAAATTGTTTTGGTCGAACTTAAAAAAAGGTTAACGAATTTTTTAAAAATCCGCCCCCCGCCCCCTTGAGGAAATCCTAGATCAGCCCCTGGATCTGATGATTAATCAGTTTGCGTTTTTAGAGCTTTAATTTTGATATCTATTCTGGATAAAATTCCTGGCTAATCGGTTTCATTAAAATAGGTTTCAATAGAAATCATTACATAGGTAACTTTTTGTGCGCTCCATCATTTTTGCTGACTTGAGTTTCTCAAAAAAAAGTGATGTCAAAAACGTCCATTGCGATACAAATAGCTGTTTCATCACATTTGTCTTGTTTCGATTTAGAGTTTGTTTGCCCAATTTTAATTCGTTTCATTCTATTATTTTAATTGGTAGCATGTTGGACAACCTACAACTAGAACATTTAAAAAGACTTTCAGTGATTGTAATTTTGCAAAAACGTTGTAGTTGTGACGTCTCACCGAATAACAAAACTCAGTTCTTTCACAAGGCACTGATCCATTTCCGAATGTGCTGGCATATGTCAATGGAGAAGTAAAGTCAGTTGGTAGCTCCTCGGCACAGCGGTCGATATCCGAAACTCCAAAAGACATTTGAGTCGGATCCATCTTGATGTTGGTTCCTTCCGGGCACTTGACTGTGATGTTGTGTCCTTGGCATACGTCGATGTCTGGCACTGAAATTGTAATTAATTTGAACATTCTGACAGTCGTTGGCTAAACCTAATAAATGTTTTGATACCGATTTATTTGTGTAAGTCGATCAAGTGTTTGCAGCTCGCCGATTCATATTGACTTACAACGTGTCAATGATCTAAAATCAGCGCCACTTCTGATTTTTTTCCAACTTACTGGGCATGAAGTTGTTTTTGCCGGCAAAGTGTCTGATTTCACTGAGTTGATCTGCAGCTACTCTGTTGGATAGAGAGGCTAAGACTACCACGTCTTGGGTCACATTGACAGATGATCCTTCTAGGAAGTGCTTCACTACAGTGGAGTCAATCACGTGCTTCATCTCATGCACGAGATCGATAGTGCTCAAGGCCGAAAAGATTTCCGAGGACTAAAATATTTCCAGATTTGATAGAAGTGATTTCAGACTTTTTACTGAACTGTTACAGAAAATGGATTATGAAATAACGATACCAAAAACTTTGCTGGTTTGAAGTAAGGCATAAGATTAACCTCGTTTTGCAAGCAGAAGTCCTGTCCATTATTGTTAACTTCTCTGCAGTTCGGAGGAAGCACCTGAAATTGTTTTTAAAATAAAAATCCACTTTCAAACTGTTCTCAAGAAAGTGGCACAATAAACACTTGGCTGCTTCAGTTAGAAAATTGCTGATTTTGTGGAATTCGTTCCAGCTGCAAAAACTGCTTATCGATAGAACCAAAAAAAAACATGACTAAACGTTTGGTATTTGCGCATTGTCTGTGAACTTCATATAAATTTTTGGTGACCAAACTCAATTTTCACGCCTGATGTTTATGCCTTTCGATTCCATCATTATTTTTGACTCAAGAGAATTTTCAAAATTGTGGAATCTGGTGCAAAGTTTACAAATTTGAGCGACAAAGAGTATGGAATTAAGATCACTACCGAAGTACCCGAGCTTGAATGGAAATGGTTTTTACTCTAGAAACAATTTCGGATTACGATGTTCAGGATGGATCTTTCAGACTTACCTGCACTTGGAAAGTGTTCGATTGACATCGCCCTTCATATTTGTCCTGCATTATGACGTAATAACTGTTCAAGTAGTTGTCCTGCCTCGACCCAGGTGCCAGTTTGGTGACGAAAGAGGAAAGACCCTCGAAGATAATATCGCCCCCTGTCTTTTTTACATTGTTCACACCTGGTCATTCAAATATAAATTAACCGTTTATGATATCTTTGATGCATTATTATAACCGTGTAGTTCAAAGAATGGTCAAGTTTGAAGTAAAAACTCAAATCAATTGTCAAACAAATAAAAACACTGAAAACTTTATTCCGGTGAAGAGGAGAAAAATTTGCCTAATATGAGGCTTATGGGCGATTCAGGAGAGCTCAGAAAACATCGACGTCAAGCCCGTCAAAAGTTTCTTGAAAATCCTCCTTTATCACCCGCTCCTACTGCAAAACCCCAGTAACGCAATAAACCCTCGAGAAATTCTAAGATCTACCCCTGCCTCCAAACTCTACGACTCACCATAGAGTCTATATTTGACTATGTGGTCGGCGGGGTCTGGATCGAAGTAGCCGGAACACTCGATCCGGTAGTACATGGCTGCCTCAAGGTCACTCTCTGGCTTTGGCCCATAGGGGTCATCGGAGGCGTCAGCTGAGTGAGTCACATTTACAAATTGGGCGGAGCACGATGCATTCACACCCTGTAAAACTTGGCATTGACATGAAAATCCGGATAAAATTCAAAGGCCAAAACGAGCACGCACTAAACAGCTCTTGACAGAATTAAAGTCTTTCTATTGGAAGGCGATCTGCTCTTGACTTCAAGAAAGTGTTTTGCAATACAGGTCTTGTTTGCAAAAAAAACTTGGTTGAAAGAAACTATTGTTTATAATAAGATCGCATGAAGGTATGAACATTTTAAGAGGCTTTGTTTAAGTTTTAGTTAGGAAAAAGTGATGACTGAATACATGTTGTGTAACTTACCAACTTGGTGCAGGGCTGGTTTACAGCGTAGTACAAGATAGTACTACCGATTGCTTTTGGTTGATCTTCCCACTCCGAATTATCACCCAGCAGATCTCGAGGAGAGTTGTCGTAACAAGACACTTTGGTTCTGTACTCGATGATGCCATCTTTGAAGCAACGCTTTGGAACGTAAGTCTGGGCTAAAATAAAGTTCGAAAGAAATTTAGTTGCTTGATCTTGATCCTGATGATGTTTCAACGCGAAATCGATAAATAAATTTTTTGGCCGCAAATCCGAGAGGTCAGAAAAGACAAACTTTTGAATGAATAAAAAAAAATGTTTTCGTCAAAAAACCGAATTTTTTGAAATTATTTCCTTAATTAAAGATTAGATGATTTTAATTGAAGCAGTCTAAATAGATTATCACTAGCTTTGCACGGAAGACGCCGTGTAATTAGCGGAGTTGCAGTTCAACTCTCTCCATTGGCTAACTCCCTCAACCAATGGGATGGAAGGGTCCTTGTACTCGTTCAGCCAATCACAGGCCAGATAGGAGTCTCTCCGGGGACAGAACGAGACGCACTGGACGAACAGTCTGAGGTTGCCGTTTTTGTTGATCTTCACAGTTGTGTTTGTAGTCTGGTCGTCGATGTCTTTGGGAAAACATTTCGTTCCATTGCCGCATCTATACAAAATTTCTGATGAAGAAAAATATTTTAGCTAGCAAACTTTGTTCAATTGATTCTGTTGAAAAAAGAATTGAGCCACTTGTCAAACTCGCGTTTCAAGTTTCAAAATTAGGATCTGACAATGATTCTTAGGTCTACTTAATGAGAACGTAGATGAGTTAGGAGAAAAAACGGACCTTTTCTTATATGGCTCAAAAACTGATCTTTTTGCTATCTGTTTTGAAATTTGATCATAACACTCGAATCTTATAGGTTGAAACTAATATCAGCAAAAAAAATCTGGCTTTTCAATGACTACAGAAGCTCAATTTATAGTTTGATCATTTTGGGCCGTTTAACAGAAAAGACCCGAGAAAATAAAGTCTGAGTATGATCTCACTGTATTTTGAGGATTGGGATATTCGACTCCAGTGCCCACACGTCTACTTTGATCTGGGCCACGCCCACTCTTCCGGTGTAGTTGTCCACTTGGAATGTGGCCACGATTAAGTAATCGCCCGGCTCAAAGTCCACAGTTATGTCCACTGAGCCACCGGAATGCTCAGTTCGACCTAAGAGAGAAAATAAATTGAACCACGTGAAAAGCCATTTACTAGTTTTTAGATGCTTTTTTACATGATTTTTGGATATTTCAAACTCAACCATGTGTTTCACCGTCAGTTTTCTGTCTTTAGAAAAGAAAAAGAGCTCAGAGCTTTCCGTTTTAAATACTTCAAAAAAAACATTCAAGATTTTTCAATTTTCTAAGTACTTTTAATTTCAAAGTTTTCAATGATATTTTGCAACGCTAATTAGGGGTGCGAATTCGCTGTGCACAGCAATCGGTTGCGATTATTTTTGGCGATGTTAATATTGTGGAAACTTTCAGAGATCACAAAAATTTCAATACTTTACCAGAAAAACTATCGACAAAATTAAAGGCGTCAAAGCATCAAAAATACCTGGTCCGTTTCCATCGCATCCACCGGCAGCTCCAGGGAACTCATAAGACTCTAGGAAAGGGGGATAATCATCGCGCCAATTTCCCTTCAAATCCATCTTGAAAGATTCTTTCACATTTCTGCACCACCACTTGAAGTTGAACGGAACCAATGAGGGGTCATCTGGGTCATAGCTGTACAGCTCGGGAGACAAGGTGATCTTTTGACCTTTGGAAACCGAGATCTCACTGACGTCTTCAAACATACGACCCACTAAGCCACTAGGAACAAAACGAACATAGTTCGACTCGTAAGATGAGAAGTCGAAAGCCCTCTGAGAACCTTCAGGCTTTTGCATTGTGACCTTGAAAACAAAGCGATATTGTCCGTAGGAGATATTACGTAAGAAGTCTTCAGACAACGTTAATGTCGACTTAGCTGCCGACTCCAGATAAATTGGCGTGCAAATATCGTCCAAATGTCCGTACAATCTTTCAGTCGAGTTATTCATTTCAACAATCTCGCCATTTAATTCATTATAGCGCATAAAACACCACGAAATTTGATTTAAGTCGGTCTCGCGGCAAACTACAAAAATTTCACCCTCAAAGTGAGCAGGAGCTTTTTTGAATAGTGTTATGGGCTCGTAATAATGCTCTCCCGCGTTAACTATTTTCAGATCGGGATAGTTACAGCTTTCAGATGTTACAGCTACATATTTCTGCATCCGAACTAGACTTATTGAATTCCATGCAGTGTATTGTATCTCAATGGATCCAGCCTGCTGTGGAGGAACTTCATACAAATCGGGGGTTGTCGAACTGAACATCTGGCTCGATCTGTAACACTTTGAACCACATTGGGCTAAAGCTTGATTATAATAACTAGAACTCTCACATGCTGAGGACGTTAAACCCTCCTGGAAATAAGTAATTATAAAGTTTGTTGAGCAGTTTGCCGAACAGTAAATTAGCACGCACATTTTTTGTCCGTTGTCAAACGTTGAGAACCCGACTTTTCCTAGAACGTCGGGAAGAAAAACGTTGTAAGATACGGGCATAAAACCCTTTATAGGTTTGTCCACTTTTATCGTATGGCGGTCGGAACATTGGCTTACTTTGTTTGAAACGTTGATATGACAGTCGTATGTATCATTTTGGGAAATCGGGAAACAAATGAGGTTGTTGCTGATCCTTTCGGCCGTGAACAGGTTTGAACTGTCGTGTTGACCTTGACAAGTTATTACTGTTAGGTCATCACTTTCAGGGCTAGTGTCTTTGTTAATAAAAAAGCAAATGTGCATTTCTTTATCATACCCGAGCACTCCTGAATCACTAGTGGCCGAACCCATCTTAAGAAAACCGATTTCCTCCGCTTCCTGAGGAAACTTCCATGTTATGTTCGTGTCACATTGTGATATTATTTCATAGACACCCAATTTGAGGTACAACAGCGAAAAGCTTCCCTCGTTGAACAGGGATACTCGAGCATCAAACAAACCAGCTTCTTCAAAAGTTTCAGTAAAATTCCACATTTGGTTTGCAGTGTAAGAACTCACAATAATTGATTCCGACAAGTCAGGTTGAATCCTGTACTTATATTCAACGGTTATCGTGAATTCAGAAGGAAAGTTGACCTCTGAAAGATGGCCTGGAAAAGATACCTGGAAACAGACATCAGAACCCAGTGCAATAAAGCTTGTTCCAGTACCCGAGCAATCTGCAGCAGTTTTTAATCCAATTTGTTCTTTTGGTGGAACCGGCATCAAAACGTGGAGTTCACGGCAAAAACTCTCATTCGAAAGATCATTTGCTACTGTTACGCAAACTGGGAACACACCTTTAGACGCGTAAAAATGAGTTTGAGTCGTCTCGTAGCATAAATCGCGTTCGTTGACAATCTCCTCGGGATCCGAAGTGTCGCCCCAGCTTATGATAGTCCTGGAATTCGAACATGTACACTCGCTGCATGCAACGATGAGCTCTAAAAAAGAGTTGACAGAGATGTAATTGAAATCAATTGCACCCGAATTGAGCTGTCGCATTTTTGAGTTTAGACTAGAAATGGGCTGCAGAATCAATCGTTCAACGGTTTCCATAGTCTGGGGCAGTTCGGATTCGTGCATAAGGAATTGATCCTCAGAAAAGTAGGAGCCAGATCTGATTTCAACATTCATGGGCAAGTAGCGATTCGCAGTGTTCAATGGGTATTTATGAAACAGAGAAGCGAGCGACGGTTCTGTCACGTGATAGCCCAGCTGAAATAAAGTTCACAGTAGTCATGCAGAAGCAGTGGACATGACATATCCGGTGAAAATGACACAATACAAGTTAATTTAAAAAAAAAACAAAAAACAAAATAAAAATATGGCGGTGAAGTGGTTACGTCTCCGCCTCTCAATCGGAAGGTCGGATGTTCGAGGCCCACCATGATCCGTGCTCGTTTCTTGAGGGTGAGGCAACATTACCTAGCCCAGAAAAATTACCAAATAAATTGCATGTAGTTCTTAAACAGGGGCACAACAGCGGTTCGCCGTGATGAGCTGTACAGCTCTTCTGTTGGTCCTATCCACCGTGGATAATTGGTCTTAATCTTAATGTTAAATTCTAAATAATCAAAAATCGTATCTGAATTTTTCCACTAGCCTGGGAGTTTCGTGTTTTCTTCGAGATTTTTGAACCAAACTACATTCAAATTGGGGAATTCATAGCCAGTGATGCAGCTAAACTCGTAAAGGCTTCTCGGCTGAGCCTTTGTGCGTACAAGAGATATGATAGAGTTTTTGGACTGTGATCGAGATTTTTGAGCTACATTTTACGAAAGTTTTTAGGACAGTTTAATCGGCTGACTTTTGCACAATCACTTTTTTCACCGGAGTCTTTTTATCCAGTTTTTTTAGCGCTCAGAATATGTAAGAATACTTATAAGAAAAGGAAAGCGTCAAGCGGAATATTCTTACATAATAATCATAACCAGGTTCCTGAAGTTCAGTGAAGACACCGCCATCGAATTTGTAAGACATGTCGAATCCAGTCCAGTCGCAGGAACTCAAGTCTAGACTCAAGCCTAGACTCACGTTCAGTGTGGGCACCACAACTGACTTGTCACAGTTCAGCACTCTTTCTCCTGTGTTAAGGGGCCCCGACGAGGCTAAGTTCGGCTGGAGAGCGCTGTACTCGGGCACCTAAATTATGGGCAACTAGCAAACATCCAATAGCGCAAACATCCAAAAAACTATTTAAAAAAAAATAGAACAAACATCGCAGAAACGATTTCAAAACATTGTTCCGACTATTGTTGTTCCGACTATCGAAGAAAGTGACGAAACATTTCTGCTCGGGGTGGTTTTTTCCTCCAAAAAAATCGACTTTTTAACTAGCCATTTTGAACGGAAAACTTTTTATATCAGCTGGAAACTATTGATGTCGTAAGCTCAAAATAAAACAATATTTTTACCTGCAATCTCTTTTTTTGTTAAATTATGGGTTTCTGAGGGGAGGGTTCTCACTATGAAGAGACAGAATGCTGGAAAAATTTCAACCGATCAAAATCGCTAGGCTATCCTATTGGCTAAATGCATTTCTCGCAAAATCGAAGCCAATATTAACAGAAAAAGTTTATATAATAAATATAATAGCTGCAGATGTAATAGATGCCGATATATTAATTATTGTTTTTCGTTTTTCTATTTTTCGTAAACCGGTATGCTTGAAATATTAAATTTGTTCCAATCCGCCTTCGATCCGGCATTATTTTCATTCATCTGCTTATTATCTAAACGGTCAATGTTAACACTAATGGCCTGGATTTATTTGCTTACTTTGAGGTTTTCGTAAATTCCCTGAGTTTTTTGAATACTCAATTCTGATTGGCTGAAAAAAAAACCAAAAATGAATTTCATGCCTTCGGTCCTTCGAGCATGAGGGATGCCACCGTTTTCTCTTACGCGTGTTATAAAAACGCAACTTACCGCACGATAATTGTTCCGTTTCAGTTAAATTCGCCATTTTCAAGTTTACAAAAAAGAGATCAATTTGGGGTAAAGTTCAATTTTTTATTCGAGCTCCTGACGTCAATATTTTTTAGATGGTTTTTAAAAAATTTTGTCCAAAACGCATATATAAAAGGTCAAAACTTAACTGAACAAAAAACCGATCACACCATAAATATTCCGTAACTTTTTTCAAAAGTCGGGACAACGAGGCATACAAGTTGCTCTTATTTGTACGCTATGAACAAAAAAAGACGATTAAAAAACTGTTTTTTTCAACGAACGATTTTCAGAAAAAGTTAGGCTTTGCTCTGATGCTAGCAAACTTGTAGTGACTTTCAAAAAAAATTACAGACTATTTTTTGGGTTGCCTTCTTTTCTTGAGAAAATTTAAGGCTTTGCTCTGATGCTAGCAAACTTGTAGTGACTTTCAAAAAAAATTACAGACTATTTTTCGGGTTGCCTTCTTTTCTCAAGACCATTTTTGATTTTTCAAACAGCCATGTTTGACGAGATTTTTGTCCTCAGATAGCTATTAAAGCTATTAATGCCTTCAACACAATTTAAAAAATTGTTTTATTTGAGATATTTTTTCGCAAAGAAATGAAGGTTTGAAAATTGTCAGTTTGGCCATTTAGGATCAACAGTGCATGCTCGAGAAGTATAAGCTTAAAAATCTGGGGCGTAGCGAATAGCAAGCGTGCAGCTTAGCATACGCAATAAATAAAAAACTCAGTTTGATGTGGCAGGCATCAATTTTAGTTTTAAATGCGAGAGAATTCTAGTTGCGCTAATAGCCGTATGCAAAGCGGCACTCATGAAAACAGGCCGGTCACAAAAAATAAATAAATTGAGGCATGCCAGCAATCCTAATGAGTAAGTTACTGTATGTTAATTATATCAGTTTTTTTTTAAATAGCGTGAGGGGCATGAATATAATTCATGTACAAGTGGGTGATGATTTTTTCATGGAAAATTTTTTATTTTATTTTTTGAAATCGACACTAAGCCGTAGGCGTTAAAGGGTAATCGGAACATTCAGGTCATCGCCCTGATATGAGCAGTCTTGCTAATCATTGCTTTATTTTGCCACTTCTCCGGTTAGTTAAGTTTATAACCATGTCATTGAAAACTGTTCCCATATCAATGTATCTGATCTGAGCCCGAATAAAATGAGAACTAGATAACTAAATTTCATTTTTACAATCTAGCGATTTCTGTACCCTGCAGTTGTCATATGCGAAATTGTGTTCAGTGGATGTCTGGCCGATTTCCAGGAAACACTGAAACGGTCCAGTGCCGACGTTTGAGTTGGAAAGCGAGATCCCGTTGAAGTTATGGAAATAGAGATACTTGTAAGCGTGCTCCATGCACTGATCCATGCTGTAGAATGAGCCAGTGTAGATTGAGCTGCTTGAAACTCCTCTGGCTTGAGTCTTGTTCTCGAGACATGACGCCTTTTGCCACCAAGCTAAAACGAAAGTGATTTTAAAACTAGTGAAGCTGCAAAATAATCGGAACGAAGAAAGAAAGCACGTCAAGTAACGAATGGCTTAAAGTGTCAATAAAATCACGAATAAAGCGTCAATAAAAATAGCTCCTCCCCCTAAGGACTTCGACCCATACTACCGATCCAAACGGTCCCTCCTTTGGTACCATTTTAGGATATCAAATTTGGGCTGATTGACACTAAAATTTTTCTAAAGCGCCTTCAAGGCGCCTAAAAGGGGCTAAAAAGAGCGCCAAAAAATGCAATCTAAAGGCGCCAAAAAAAAGCAATATTTTGATCAAAAATATGCCTAGTACGCGTTTTCTGGCCTGTTTTGTTTTCAAAAATTTATCAGCGAGCAGATAATTTGGTCAGAATGGTGTCTTTATATTGATTTTGGAGACCCCAGAAAGTCACTTGGTCAATTTAAAAAAGCCCCGTACTCCCTCAAGAAAATCCTAGATTCCCTCATTGAATGCGACGAAATGCGGTTTTTTTGAGAAAACCGTTCCCTCTCAAAAAAAATCTAGAGCCGCTAGTATTTTTCTCCTTGAATTTTTATTTTTCTAACATCTATAAACACAAGAAATTTTTTGGAAACAATTTAGCTAGTTAGTTTTCAAATCTCATGAAAACTGAATATTTTTCAGATTTTAGAAAATTAGTATTGTTTTGCAATAGACGAAGTTATAACTTACATGAAATGAGGTTGGGGGGAACCGACACAAAGAGGAAGTCACATGGCTCCACAACCACCACCTCCTCCTCACTCGAGGGGTCAAATTGGGCCATCACGTTCACCCCACTGGGACCAAAACCACCAGCCTCCACCACCACACTCACTTCTTGCCTAGAAAACAGACTAGCAGGGTAATAGTCACCCATGATTTCAATTATGGATAATTGTGCAAATTGGGCTCGAATATGCCTAATGAATTCCAATTTGATCCCGACAAAAATAAATATTCACAGAAAAAAGAGGTCATTTTTTTAATTCAGACTTTTTTCGTCAACAAAATATTGGCCGTTTTTGGTTGAATTCGTTCTTTAAAAACTAAAAAACAACAACACATACTGCACAATTTACTTGATTCATCAAAAACTACAAAAAAGGTATTTTGGAAGAGGAGCTAGGTCTGTATTAGACAACCGCGTGTTCATACAAATACTAATACAAACAAATACAAATAAATTAAAACCAATCGGAATTGAGATGGGAAAACAAACTTACGAAATAAATAATTATTAGTTTGTCTCGATTCCGATTGGTTAATATAGCGTTTGTCTTCTTACTGACGAGCATGAAAAAGCGATTATCTAAATACTGCTGCGCAATGATTACCCGCATCGACCAAAAACAGCTATCGTAGAACTTTTCGATTACTAATCTTATATTTTTTTTTGCAAAATTTAACTCTAAGGTTGCACAAAACATAGTTTACCTTGACACAAAATCCTTTTTTAAGATCATTCTGTCAATCAATTTTCTCCTATTGTTATGCTAGAGCTTGACTTAATTTTGTTTTCACATTAAAGAAGTGTTTCAATGCCTCTTTGAGCTCTATATCTTTTCACATCATCTTCTCTAAAAAAACATCTTTTTATAAATCTGAAGTATAATTTTTCTAGGATAAAATTCCCTTGCGTTTGATTTGTTAATAAGAAAAATTTACATTAGCAGATGCATTGACAAAACTGACCGAAAACAGTAACTTAATGCATTACGAACTGATTGATATATTTTATTAAGAATTTTTATAATAGTTTTTTTTTCTAGTTTACGTCAAATTTTTGTCTAGTTTTTGGAGGTAAGTGAAGAGCACAGAAAGTACTCAAATAAATTTTTTTCTGGGGCCAAACTCTGATCTACTTAACACTCCTTCCAAGAAAGAGGTAATTATAAGTATCTATAAGTACAATTATATGTATCTAAACTACCAAGTTAATTGATGAGAAATTTATATGAAAAGAAGACAAACCGCCCTATAAATATCCAGAATTTTCAAAAATAAAGAGAAGAAAAATTATTTTGCATAATAGCGCAATAATTTTTTGCTATATATAACTCGAATTCTTTGTTTAACAACAAACTCCAAACGTTTTGCGCAATCTTTTGGAGATTTTACCCTTTGAAAACTTTGTTGGGCAATGTAAATGTCTTCTTTTAATCTAATTTGGACCCTGTGAACAATTCCCTCCTCAAAATGATGAAGGGATGATACAATACAGTTCACTTGAGTATTTTGTTCTTTCGCAAATTGACCGATGCGAGTTTTCAACCAATCGGGATGCAGTCCTTTCGAGAAAAAGGAAATAACTTCAGTTGGGTAAATAATTGACAGCTTGTATCGCATCTTACGCATTAATATCACAAATTTTTTTGCGTATTAATTGTCCTTAATTGGATAAAGTGGCAATCTTTAAACCTCCATAACTTCACGAAAAAGATCACAGGTGAAATGTCTTTTAATTTTGAGCTCGGGACAACAACACTTTGTGACTGATCGAAAAAAAAATGATTCAAAAAATGCTATGAAAAATTGAAAAGTTCGACTTAAAAAAAGAAGCACCCCAAGCGGAAATACGCCTATAATTTTCGCATCAATTATTTTGGTAGTTTAGAGTAACTCTTGATAAACTAAAAAAAAGTCAAAACGAACTTTTTTTTGGGTAAAGTTTTGGTTTCGAATTTTACAAAATGAACTGCGGTATGATAATTCTGGTAAAATTCCCGGAGTCTTTTCTGTTAAACGACCCAAATATTATTATTTTTTGCTATTTGGAAACTTTGATGATGCTGGAAACTGATTGGTTGACTTTAATATCAGTGAAAGTGAACCTTAGCTGTTTCAATAAATACAGAAGCTCAATTAATATTTTGATAATTTGGACCGTATAACAGAAAAGGGACGCTCTCCTCCAAAGCCATTTAAAGCGTGGGCTGTTAAGCTAATTCTGAGTTCGCACTTTCAGCCAATCAGATTAGAGCATATTACATGTAGCTCTTAGCGAATTTGATTTAAATTGAATGCTGGGATGGAGGATTTACATTCGGTCATTTGGGTTGAAGATTTTAATTTGATCCAACTTTTCTAAAGGCGCCACCAGCGCCATTTTATAATAATTTTGAAGGGGAGCGCGCGCCGAAAAAACGCATTTTGTATCAAATTTTTCCGAGTGCCCAAAAATGGCATTTTCGGTTTTTTTTTTTTTCAAACATTTCTCTGCGATGCAAAATTTTTGGTCAAATTAGGGTCTTTATAGTGTTCTGAGAGTGATTGCAAAATCGATTTGGTCGACTTAAAGCGAGCAAATTTTTAAAAATTCCTAGATCCTCCCCTGCTTTGTACCCAGTTGAACAACGTTATTTTCGGTTATCTTGATGACAGAAAATACCCAATTCTAAAAAAATGTTTGTTCCCTTTTTGTCTAATCTCAACTCAATTTGAGAAAAACGTGTTTATTTTTCAATTGTTTTTCGTTTTGTCCGGATAATTTAATCCAGCACTATCGCTAAGGGGGCGTTCAACAGTGCCGAAGTACAACAGCACCGAAACATAAAATGTTCAACCAACCGTGCCGAAAATGATGATTTACGGCAGCTTAAGATACAAGTATGATAGTTGGGTCCCTAAAACTAAGATGGGCCGCCCTGAAGAAAAATTTTTAGGCCTTAAAATCTTCGAAAACATGGTTAGCCTATTTGTTACAGGGGCAGATTTAGTATTATTTTATGACATCCATTGTAGGCCCTAACCCTAAAATTGTTCGGACCAAGTAAACACACCCCCCTCCCAAAGCCGTTTAGGGGGGAGGATGTTACCTTGGTTCTGAGTTCGAATTTTCAGCCAATCAAAATAGAGCATTTTAATTTAAATTGCAATGCTGGGGTGGAGGATTTTAACTTGGTCTATATGGGGAAGGATTTTAACTTGATCCAATTTTTCTAAAGGCGCCATTGGCGCCAAATCTATACTAATTTTGAAGGGGAGCGCGCGCCGAAAAAATGCAATTTTTGGATCTTGTTAACTATTTCCCCCTATGCATGTATTATTTTTGACAATCATTTCTGTTTAAAATATGTTATGGAAAAATGTCAAAAATTAAAAGTTTTCACTTTCGCACGTTCGTATTTGTCACAATTTAATCAAATATATTGTTTGAAAATTGTATAAGCTATTGAAAATATGGCAGCCAAAGTTGAATTTATGAAAATCGAAATAGGGGGGGCGGGGAATAATTGAGAAGATTCCAATTTTTTTTAATCAAATCTTCAAGCGCCCTCGGAATCAAATCTTTATCTGAAAAAACAGGTAAAAAATGTCGTTTTTGCAAAAACGACATTTTTGACCTGTTTTTTCAAATTTGCCTGCGACGCACTCTTTTTGGTCAAATTAGATTAATAGTGTTCTAGCAGTGCTCGCAAAATCAATTTGGTTGACCTAAAGAGAGCAATTTTCGAAAAAATCCTAGATCCACCCCTGCTTTGTACCCCCCACCCTGTCTCTACTTTTGACACGAACAGTGACACTGTTCCTGTCAGCTCACAGATCGACCGACTTACACGGCAACAATTTGAACATTGTCGACTGTTGCGTAGGTGTTATTGCTAAGTGTTGCTGCTTTGCAAGTATTCGTGTCCCGGTCGCAGATTTCCTTTCTGAACATAGAGAAATATTCGCCCTCCTCTGTGGAAATAACTTCATTGGAACACGTCTCTGTTTGCGTGTTTATACATTTGCCAGTCGCACAGCAATATACTTGATCGTTGCTACAAGTTGGTCGTGCTATCTGAAACAAGTATGCGTACTGGTTTTAATAAACATGCCGTGATAGCTCAGTTGGGAGAGCGTTAGACTGAAGATCTAAAGGTCCTTGGTTCGATCCCGAGTCGCGGCAAATATTTTATTCTCGAATTGCACGCCCCCTCAGTAATTAAGAGTCCGCCTTTGTACTATTTTGAGATATCCATTTTTGGCCGACTGATCTTAAAAATTTTCTGAAGGCGGCTTCGAAACCTATCTATGGTAATTTTGAGGGTGAGTGCGCTCCGAAAAAAACGCGGTTTTTGGCCTTCTTTTAAGTAATTGCCCCTACGGCGCAGATAATTTGGTCAAATAAAAAGAAATGAAGCGATGACGTTTTTTGAATAAAAATGAATTATAATCGATTTAAATAGATTATAATTCAACAAAGTTTCAGAAATAACTTTTTCAAAAAATAATCGATTATAATCGATTATAATGGTTTTTTGTTTTGAAAAATAGTAACATTATAATCCATTTTAAATCGATTATTATCTCTTTTTTCTTTAAAATTTATGGAGACTGACAATAAAAATCCATTATAATCTATTACTTTCTCTTTTAAGTGAGTGCGGGTACTACTAGAATGGTCCCTCGAAAACAACCAGGTCCCTTGAGAATACGACACCTAGAACTCTCAAATCCTTTAATAATTATGATTTCCTCATTCAGAATTATGTCGCAGTATATTTTAAAACAAATTTTATGTTTTGCTACTTCTTAAAATTTCTCCCCTCACCATTTTAAGGGGGAAAGTTATTAAAAACCGCCAAAATTGAGTTTTGATGACGAATAAGGTGACCCAATTATGTTTGTTAAGCTGTAAAACAAACAGAAGCGAGGAAATTTCTTAATATCAACAATGAATTGATTACAATTTTCAAACTGAAAAAGTTCTGACTGTACATATTAGCGAGAATTTGAATAATTTATACACAAATTAGTTTTCAAAAATATAGCATGCGAAATGCATTAGGGACCTGTCTTTCATCGTTGCTTTTTCGAGAGACCAATCTATACTAATTTTGAGGGGAAGCGCTCGCCGAAGAAACGCAATTTTTTGGTCGAAAATTTCAAAAAAAGTGCATAAAAACGCCTTTTTTGGCCTGTTTTTCACAAATTTGCCTACGGCGCAGAAAAATTGGCCAAAACAGCGTCTTTTTGGTGTTTTAGGAGAGCTCGGAAAATCAATTTGGTCGGCCTAAAAAAGAAGGTTGACAAAATTTTTAAAGTTTTTTTTTGAAACTCCGCCCCTCCCCCCTCAAGAAATTCCTAGATCCGCTCCTGCATTTGAATTTCTCTTCAAAAACTAATTTAACGTTATCATAATGCAACAAGGTTTTTTTCCCTTTCCCCCAACTGCCAATTTTTAGAAAATTTTTTTCTGTTGACATTGTCCGATTGTTACAAAAACCGGCGGGTCTTATGCACAAAACGACCCAAAATCAATATTTATATCTTGCGCTGAAATTAATACCGTCGATTCTGATAGGCTAATTTTATAAGCCATTCAAATTCAATCAACATAGTTCTGCAATTCAATCAAAGTTTCAGCAGATAAAAGTATTAGCCGATATAACCAAATTTTGAAACTTTATTCAATAATATATATATATATATTTTTCAAATCAATTGGGAAATTTTGCATACAGAAGAAAACTCAGTAACTTGGCGTCAGTAATAGTTCCACAACTTTCGTTATTTCGGCCACCCATTTTATCTGCTGGAAGTTTTGATTGAAACCATGTTCTTTGTTGTTTGATTCAGTTGAATCAGATTCAATCTTATCAATTCGAGTTTAAGTAAGATAAATAAATAACAATTTTGGGGCGGGGAGGGGGTAGGATTGTGCAGTTACTAGTAAGTAAAATTCGTTTACTATTAAGTTACCACTTTTGTTACTAGTAAGATACTTTTACTTACTAGTAAGTTTCAAAAACTCAGTGTCTGCTCGAAAACTACCAAGTTTGAAGACTACTCATTTACACAGACTCAAAATCCGTAAAATAATCATTAGGATCAGTATTATCAAATAAAGCAGCGTTGTAGCTTATGAAAGCAAGTTTATCTGCTCTTTCGACTGATAATTGAGCTTCATTTCTTTCAAAAGTTTCATTTTGGTTCAACTTACAAGTAATGAGCCTTATTTTACTCATTAGTAAGTTAATAGTACCATTATTAGTAACTTACTTACTAGGAAGTAAATCCGCACAACCCTAGGAGGGGGGAGAGGGGAGGTGGAAGTGCTGGGTATTGGGAGCCTGCAACGAAACTGAAAATTGTGAACAAATTTAAAAGTTTTTTTTGATACTTATTATTTTAGTACCACGTGAAACAACTATGAAAACAGAAGTTTCGAAAAGTGCACCTTTTAAAACTCCTTCTTTTATAGTTGTTTTACGTGCTACTAAAATAATTAGCATGAATAAGAACTTTTAAGCCGATATGGGTCTTTTCTCTTATACTCCCCCTGATGAAAAATAATAAACATTTTTGTAACAAAATTGAGACTACGTTACTAGCAAATGCAATTTATTACTATGAGATTGGTAAAAACGTAGCATTTTAACTTAATTTTGCCTCAAATGGATGTTTTTCTTTTCTTTTCTTTTTTTGCACAAACTTCAGAAAAAAAGATTCCAAATGTGTTTTTAATTGTCGTTTTACTTAACACTGTGCGCTTTGCTAGCTTGATTTACCATTCGGGATATCAGCCCAGCATTTCTAAGTAAAATCGGTTCATAGTGTTTCAAAAAATTCAATTTCCTTTTTATCCTTAGGAGGGTGTAACCGAAAAGACCCGCCGTAGTTCTGATGCAGTTTCAGATTCAACATATGGTGGTTTGTAGATATGGCTGTTTAGTGAATATCCGCCGAGTGGTCTCTTGAAAACAATCGAGTTGTTAAAAAAAGACACCTAGATCTCCCAAATCGTGTAATAATTATAAGTTCGCCATGCAAAAAGATTTCGCAATATATGTTGAAACAAAATTTGTTTTGTTTTACTAAGTAAAACAAAACAAAATTTGTTTTGTTTTACTATGTAAAATCTTTTCTTGAGCCTTTTAAGGACAAAATTTTGTAAGATAAGTAAACGCGAGCATTTTTCTTGATATAAACACTTTTGATGATTACAATTTTCAATCTGAAAGTTTTCAGACTCATCTTTTGCGAGAGTTTTGAAACAAACGATTTATACAAAAATTAGTTTTCAAATTTTTACATGCAAAATGCGCGCGGGACGTGTCTATCATAATTGCTCTTTCGAGAGACCATCTATCATGCTAGTACCAAAAATTAAACTCGGAACTTATACAACTCCCCAGAAACAACTCCCTTATAAAAGTCAACGCAGCAAGAGTTACAAGTATGATAGTTAGCTCCCTTAAACTTATATGAGTCCCTGAAAGAAACTTTTTGGGCCTTAAACTCTCCGAAAGTATGGTTTGAATTTTTTATTTGTTTTTTTTTAAACAACTCCTTTAAACTCTTGAAAAAACATGGTTTGCATTTTTACTTGTTTTTTTTTTGAAAATTTAGAAAAAAAACTCAATCCATTTTTAATACTTGCTTTCTCGCTTTCTCATGAGACCCAATTATCATAATTGTACCTAGCAAGGTTCTAAACATGGCCACTAAGGATCCTGCTAGCAGCAGTTGGCAGAATTCGGCTTATAGAGCAAAAAATTTGTGGAGCAGCAGATAGAACAGAAGTTCAATCAAGCTCCAGGATTTACCAATTTTTCTCAGAAATCGTAAAAAATTGGATGGATTCACGTGTGATAGAGGGGTGCCGGTAAAAACCAAGTGTGATAAAGAGGTCCCAAAATGCGCTATTTCTGAGCAAATATAGCAATTAATTAAATCAATGGACGCTTTTTGATTGTTTTCAAGGCTTTTCCCTAAAGTTAATTAATCTGCCTCATTGTCGCTGAATTTTTTGACGTTTGAATTGACAGACCCGAGGCAATAAATTGAACAATTTGTCAGCACTGCTAATTTTATAAAGAGACCAGTTATTTTCTTGGGACGCCTCTATCAACTTAGTACAAAAAACGAAAGCTGAAGTTGCATTTCTCGAAAATCTAAGTTTTGCATCTACCCCACACCAGTGTTTCATAAATAAAAATCTATTACTTTTAGCGATAAAAAAATCGAAAAAATTAATTTAAAATGATGCTAATATCAACCATTTTTGATGCATTTCCGCACTCTGTAAAAAGAGGAAAAAGATCGATTATAGTACAAATATTTTGTACTCTTATCAAAATTGCAATTAATTACGGTCGTCAAATTTAAATGTTTACTCGATTTATAATCCATTATAATGATAACAGTTCTAGTGACATTATTATTATATATGATAAGCAAAAAAATTGAAATTTTTTTTTTCGAAAACTCCTCATAATTTTTGTAAAACTATTAAGTAGATTATAATCCCTTAATCTGTCAAAATATTGTCACAGAAAAAATGTTTTGTCTTATGGTATATTATTTTTGTCAATAAAAAAATCTCTAAATTTCAGATATTTTGTCATATTTTGATTCATCTGAGCACAAAGTGTTACCAAGAATTGTAATTTCATAGAGATACTTTCAAATTAGTTTAAAAATTCCAGCGGTTGGTGAAGAACGACTCCTCCCTTTTTTAAAATTTTTTTGAAACTATTATAATACTGACACTATTAAAAAACCTAAAATGTGCATCATGAAAAATTCCAATCAAGAAAAAACGAAAAACTGAAAATGTAGAAAGTTTGAATTGATTTGAAAGCTGTTTCAGCAAGTTTCTCAAATTTCACCTAAACCAACATCTGTGAAAGGCATAAAAATAGGCGTTTCATGATCTAATGAATCATGATTAATGATATCGAGAACAAACTTGGCAAACAAAAGGTAGGATACTCGATAATAACTGACTAAATTTTTTTGTCTAATAAGTAATCATGGAAATGGGAAAACAATAGGTTATATTTCATTATAATTGTATTGAAAAAAATGGATTATTACTTAATTAAAATAGATTAAAACGTTTTATATTAGCTGATAATTTGTTTTGAAAGATTGAAAGAGAGAAACTATAATCGGGGTAAAATACCTGGGGAGAAAAAGAGCGTCAACCCACCCCCCCCCCCTAAATCCGCCCCTGATAGAAAGATTGAAACTCCTTAAAGACTAACGCACATTGAACTCTAGTTTATGCGACTTTTTTGTTTTGCTATGCAAACAATGATTTTGTCAAACAAATCCATAGTTGAGCAAAATGTTTTCATAGAGCAGAAAAACAACAGAATTTTTTAAAGAGCAGCATAATTTTTTGGGAGAGATTCTACGCTAATGTTTGACTATATATTTGATTTCAACCAATCAGATGCAAGCATAGTCTTTTTTCAGATTTTTCATTTTGCAAACTTGTACTTCCCCATAAATGTGCTGATCAGAGGGAGGGGTGGAGTGAGGGAGTAAAATTGAATATCTGAATCATATATTCCCAAAAAGCTTAAGATTTTTGGTGACATAAAAAAAGGATAGCCGGTTGTGCAAATAGCACAGAGTGATCCGACCACACTGATTGATTCAAAAAATCAAAAACGAAAAATGTTTTTTTTTGTAAGTTTAAAAAATATAACTTTTTATTTTAAATCCAAATATCTTATGAATTGTTAATGCCTTTTAATTGACCTCGTTTTCTAATAAACTCGAAAATCTTATGAGTAAACTTTTTAAGGAAAGAAAAAGGACCGAATTTACGTTGGAATAGAAAATGAGCCCTAAAAATTCCTCAGAACTATTTGAAAATTCAGACATCTAGACTTTTTAGTCATGTTGACTCCGGATATCTAGACATCTTAGTCATGAGAAATCTATTTTTTGCGGGACAATGTATGGGCAAAAAATTACCATAAAATTAAATTAAATTACATCGGCCAAAGAGAATCATGGTTGAAAACTGGCATTGTTTAACCCTCTAAGTCTCGAAACGATAGTTTGAAATTATCGTTTTTTTAAAAAAAAAAAATCTAACTAGCTTTAATAATTACGTCTGACTAAAGAACCCGGTACTGACTATTGATTGAAATTGATTTAAACTTAGTTAATTCAGATAATTTGCGGTATAAAAATTAAACTACGATAGTTTCTTTGTAAGAGTAATTCGATTTACAATAGAATCTAACAGATTTACTTTAGAAAAAATAATTTAAATGTTTAAATGTTCAAAATGGTTTCAAATGGATTTTCGCAGGACATAACGAACGGTCAAAATTTCAACAACAAATGGGTGGGGGGAAGTGGGCTGGGGGTAGTTAAAAAATACTTTTTTGTAGTAGATTTAATATCTATTTAAAATCAATTTTTTTTGCTTTTCTGGTACCTTTATAGCTATTTTCATTGGTTATTTTTATTGGTACCTTTATAGCGAACAATAAAGGTATAATATAGGCAAGATCATGGAATTTATAACCTACTCATTTTGAGGAAATAATTATTTTAATGTTTTTTTTTCTGGCAATGGCTTAAGTTCTAGTTAAAGTTCTGTTCGCTTGAGTATTCCTGGATGGAGAAACAAAATAATTTTGAAATGAATGCTATGCATAGTTTTGTGCGCGCATGAAGGTATTAAGAGTATAAATACGTCTCAGTTTCAAAACAATTAAATTGTTTACAACATGTGTAGAGCATTTAAATAAGAAAAGGCCGAAAAAAAATTTAAGCTTAATCAGAAGTGGTTCAAATTAGTTTTTTTTAGTTGAATTTTAGTATCAAACTATATCAGTTCAAAATGTTATTTTCTAATCTTTCCCATTAATATCTCTCACAATTGATAGCCAGCCGTTTTTGTCAGTCAGAATTTTTCAAGAACATATTAGTTGAAAAATCTTTTAGGATCAAGAATCTGCCTTTGCCATGACTAGTTTTGCTTTTTAGACCAAAAACTAAGATCAATCAACTTTTAGTTGGTTGTCTTTTGTGTAGGAAGAAACGGAGTGAGGATAAGTATTTTCAGTATCATTACTGATATTGTCTAATTTTTCCATTTTTGCAGTTATACAGACCCTAAACATTGTTTTTGTAGCAATTTGTTCACCTCGATGAATTGCCAAATAATTTTATAGTTAAATTGATATTATTTTGTTCCAACCACTGAAGTGGAGAGAAACTTTGTATTTGAGTATCTTTTAGTATTTTTCTTTTTTTTTCATTGAAAATCAGGCACGAGAATTTACACGGAGGCGAAATTATCAGATTTGGCTAATAGTTTTTGAGCAAATTTTGACAAAAAAAAAACGGTAAATTCTATAAAAGGAATTTTTCAGAAGTCCGATCGATACACCTTTTCTACAAAAAAACCGGGTTTAACATATAACAAAGGGAAAATCTAAGCACCATGTTAGTTTTACTGAACCATCAACGTCAGAATTAAGAGGTTCGTTTGTGAAAAAAATATATTTCCAAAAACGGGCAAAGTTTCACAAAGTAGACAATTTCTAATGCCATATTTTTTTTTACAAAACGCAGAGCATTGCCGCTTACGCTGGTAACTTAGCATAACAGATTTTTTTAGTTAAACCCTCAATCTCCGATTTGGCAGGGTAGTTTAGAGAAAGGTCAAAAATTACAAAAACCAATGAAAATGTCAAAAAAGGGCTTATTTGACTCCATATCTTTTGTTCTACGGAATTTACGAAACAGCCCTAGGAAACAGAGAAGGGGAACACTCCATAAATTAATCTTTTCATTAAAAACTTCGTCTGAGATTTGTGCATTTAAAACTTGAAAAATTGTTAAAAACAAAAAAGCAGGCCAAAAATCCCTCCTCTTTAAACTTTTGGAGGCTGTAGAACGTGAAGTAAAAAAAAGAGGAGACTAGCAAAATATGCAGGCTCATAAAAAGGCAGCTGGCTTTTCCAATGGTACCATTTTTTTGAAAGTCACTTAAAGTAGTTTTTGAAAATTTGAACTTCTGCGCAAAAAGTGCAAGATATTTCCAAAATGTCGCAAAAAGAAGGAAAACTAATAAAGTCCATACGTTTTTATAATACATGTTTTTTCAAACCGAACCTAACACTAGCTAAAAACAAAGCAACAGCATATTCCATGAAATTGATTATGCTTAAATAAGCTTGAATATGATTAAATTGAAATATACCAAAAGTGCCACCAAATGAACACTTTTATTTGCACAGGTTAAAAAATTTCGTAATTATAGACTACGCTTTGCTTTTCTGGATAAAAATTATCACG